CCCCGCCAGCCCCGCACACTCACGATGAGCACCCTGCAGACGTGGCCGCGGCAGAGCTCCGCGTAGGACGAGTACCGCACGTAGGCCGCCCAGCTGCCCGCCAGGACGCCCAGCCAGACCAGGAGCACGTACTTGACCCTGAGGCCCGGGAGCCGGCCCTGGGGGTGCAGAGCATGGCCCTGAGACCCCGCGGGCCTCTCGGCAGTTAGAGGTCACTGGGAGTGGAGGGGTGGGCAGCGCCAGTTTGCCATGTGACATCTGCCTTCACAAGTCTCCCCCGTGGAGCGTGGCCCAGGGGTGGGCTCGGCCCCATGGAGGACCACCATGGCCAGGACACACCCTGTGGGGCTGGGGCTGAGGCAGGGGAGACCGCGGGGGGCGTGCCAGGGAGCTGAGTGGCCTCAAGGGCTCTTGCCCACCTGGGCCCGGGGCCCTGGTAAGGGCACACAAGATGTCGCCTGGCAGGTGAAGAGTGAGACTGGAGCCGGACACCGCGGCCCTGTTTCCCGGCTCCGGGCGGATGGGGTGCCAGCTCCCTCCTGCCCCGCTCTGGCCACCCCAGGCCTCCAGAGTGGTCACCGAGGCCCAAGGTAGCCGGGGTGTCCCGCACCCGCTAGACTGGCGCTTGCACAGAGCCACAGGGCCCGGGCCGGGCTGTCAGAGAGCAGGAGCCCGGGGCTTCGTGGCCACACGCCCTGTCCTGTCCCTGTTGACGGGGGCCCAGGCCGGGGGTCCCCATGCAGCTTGGGACCGAGGAGGGGCTCGCTGCCCCAGGGGCCACCGCAGAGAGACCCAGGGTGGGGCAGGGGCAGGCGGGAGGCGCCTGGCCACAGAGGCCCCTGTGCAGAGTGTGGCCAGCTGGCCCATCCTGGCCGCCACGTCTGTTTCTGTCAGGTTTGTTTAGGAGGAAAAGCAGGCAGCAGCGGGGTGGGGGTGCTCTGCAGCTCGGGGAGACCCCACGGGCAGAGCAGCACCCAGGCCGCAGCGGCCGGGCCTCTGGGCGGACTGTGAGGGCTGATGCCGCACAGTGACCACAGGAGACAGCCTGTGGGCTACCCCCACCTCCCACCGTCCAGCCAGACCCTTCTAGCCTCAGGCCTCGCCCGCACTGCTGACCAGGGCGCTCCGGGAATAGGGCCTGACTTCCCCACCGTGCACGCGACCTGGGGCCGCCCAGCCCCACCAGGCTCCTGGTGCAGGGCCACCTGGGCAGCAGATGACCAGGCCTTCACCCACCCAACCCACCAGCACCTCTGGGCCCCACACAGCAGGGGCTGCACCCTCGGCTCCCGCCAGTGCTGGGCAGGGCCCAGGCAGTAGGAGCTCTGCAGAGCCCTGCCCCTCCCCCGGGAGCTGGGGTCAGCGGGGCTGGACCCGAGGCCCAGCCTGAGCCGCCTGTGGCCCTGCAGCGGGCTCCGCAGCAGTCGCAGGGTGGGGAGGTGGCCCACCCAGCGCAGAGGTGACTGCTCCAGAAGGCGCCGGCGGGGGGTGCGGTGACTTGTCCAAGGTCACGGGTGGGGGGCACGGGAGGGTCCCTGTGTCTCGGGGCCCTGGGGCCCAGCTTCTTCGGTGGAGCGTTTCCCGGCGAGGTGGCTTCTGGGCCCGGGGCGGGTCAGCTCCCGGGAGGTGGGGGCCTCCGCCGCGCTCGGCCGCCGCCAGCCCCCGCACGCTGACCGCCAGGT